TGTAGTTATTAGTTACTATTGTAAGCATTTCTTCAAACTGTGTTTAATGTGCAGGAGTAGTCTGTTTGTTACAAGTAAAAGAAGTAAAAAATTAAATATTGAAGTATTTGAATTTTAGTAGTATAGCTAATAGGATGTTATATGGAATAGGTTTAGTTTGTAGTTTGTAGATAATGAATTCTTTGATACTTTTAGTGAATTTGAGTATGTTAATAATATGATCATAGTACCAAGTAGTTGTATTAAAGTTATCAAAGTCAAAGTTTATATTGTCTATTAGTTTGTCTAACTATATTCTGCTATCATTATAGTTATTACTATAAAGATTTGTATTTAGAGAGGAGTTATTTTGAAGAGCTTAGCTATAGAAGAGTTTGGTATTGCTATTTTTGAATTTTAAGCTGTTATGATATGAATCATATATATTTTTTTCTAGTTCATTTTTGTCTATATATATGTTATATGTTTTGCAGGATGCAGAAGATGCTAAAAGACTAGTTTGTATTTTTAAAAGTATAGAGGATATAGGTTCATTATGTATATCTTCCTCTATTTAGTCTGCTTATAATGAGTTTTAGTGATCTGTTGTACTATGGTCTTCTGATTCTGTTTATATATAGAGGTTTGTATTTTGTGTATTAGAGTTGTTAGTCAAATCAAGGTTGTACTCAATTGTAGAATAAGTAATATTATGTTGTATATCATTAGAATCTATTAATATTGTATCACTAATTTCGGGTAAGAGTAAATAAGTATTAGATGTAGTTGTTGTCAGAGTAGTATTGAGAAGAGTAGCTGTATTATAAGGAATGATAAAAAGTACAAAATTTTGTTTATGAGTATTTGTTGTGAGGTAGTTAGTTTTAGTATTCTAATAGATTTGAATAAGCAATGAAGATTGAGTGATATTAGTTGTAATTTGTATAGTAGTGATATTAATAGCATTGTAAGATAGTTTTGTAAAAGTGAAGAGAAGAGTAGAGTTACTGTTAGTAGTATAGTCAATTCAGTATTTTGGATGAAAAGTTATATTATTTATAGTAGTTGTTTTAGTACAATCTATTGTATAGAGCTGTTGTTAGTCATAGGAAGTAGGAATAATAAAAGTAACTCTATAAGTTAGTTCATTTGTGTTAATAATAGTTAAGTCAAGAATTTATTTAGGATGTTTGAGCTAGGTAGGAACAGGTTCTGGAGTTGATATATTTGTTAATATCATCATGTCCTTATTGTTGTTATTGAGTATATTATTGTTTTTGAAGAAAATGATATTGATATTATTTTTAGAGAGGTAGCATCTCTTTTCAGTTTTCTCTAAATCTTTAGGTACTGTGAAGTTATTGTTTGAAGTAGTAGTTGTTAGTTTGTTTGTGAGTAACAGTTTTCTTTTATTTAAAGTCCTTCTGAAATAAAGGTTTTCCTTGTTTTTGTTGTTTATCTTTTTTTCTATTTTGGCACAGTATGGTAGAGTAAGTTAAGAGAAAGAGTTTTTTTAATTTTTAAAAAAAACTTAATAATTTAGTTGATATCTCTATATTCTTAATAATATTAATTATATCTTATAGAAAGCTACAAAAACAGTAATAGAAAATTAAGCTAGAACTTATAAATATCATCTAAAGAAATAAACAAATCTATAGATTAATTAGTGATTATAATAATACTAATTTATCTGAAGCTTTGTCTATTCTGGCTTCAAGACAATTTTCTAGAAATTTGAGTGATTATAAAATATCTAATAAAGATGCAATAAATTTTATTTCTATATCAAGATCAGTAGAAGAAGGAGTTAGTACTAGCACTAGATCAGATTTACTTCTTGAAATCTTCTTTATACTAAAGAGAATGAATATATATATCTTCTAAGATTTTATGAAATTACTTACTAAATACTATAATAATACTTATGAGATGAATATATTTATTCTACTTGAAAATTTGAAATTAGATAGGTCGATATATATATCACTTATAATAAATTAATATAGAAGAATAAGAATAAATGATAAAGTTTTTGGGTCTACCTTTTCTAAATAGCATAAAAATTCTTCAAAAATTCTTGTAAAGTTTGCTGAAAATAGAGATGTAATCACATATTCAAATCAGATTCTGTTCTTTTTTGAGTATTATATTAACTATTCAGAAGAATCAACGAAGCATAATCTTGTATATATTCTCTAGTATAAAAAAATAGATAAAAAATTAAGATATCAACTAGTATTAGCAAAAATAATGATAAACTTTATAATATAAAATTATAGAATAATGATTTTTATGATTTAGATTGTAATTGCATAATTCCTGTATATAACATACTGAGAAGATTTGTTGCTAGTACTTTTATAGTTAGATCAAGAAAACTTTAGAAGTATATTTTAGTGATTCTATTAAATAGAAAATATAATCTATAATAGTTGTACATATATGAGATAATCTATTGCTATTAAGATTTATACATAGATACATATATAGTATATATTTATTGTATATATATTTAAATTAATATTACAATGATGTATACTATTCAGATAATTAATAAACTATAGCTATAACTTGTATAACTACATATCCTTTAGATTGTAGGCCAACGCAGGCAAATTTGCCTGCATTTTTGTATTCATTCAGCTCTGATTTACTTTTTTAAAATGCAAAAATATTAAAAAAAT